CCTATGTGTGCATGCAACCCTAATTTTAGGATCTATGTTTTCACTATTAGACATACAAGCATTGAACACAAAACTAGAAACCCTAGGAGGAACATATAATTTTCGAAATTAAGATATAATTAGGGTTAGGATACATACCTTGATTGTTATATTGTAATAACAATCAAATCCTTGAAGATCTTGAACTTTGGTAGCAAGCGCCACAAGTGTCGCGCCTCTAATGACTCACAAACAAACCTAGCAACCAAGGAATACTTTAGAGAGAGAGAAGTAGAGTAGAATTTAGGCCCTTAGATTGTTTTTGGAGCCCATTGGCCGAAATTTAACCCTAAGAGGGTTTATATATGTGCTAGGAAGGTATTTGATTAGGCATGTGTATCCAAGATAACCCTAACCCATTAACTTCCTCCCTAAGGCATCCAAGGCACCCTTAGAGCTCATGGAAACCCTAGGAACACCGTAGTATTCGTTCCCCCTTGAGGAAGGTTCTAGAATGCTCAATGCTCAACTATTGAACATTGTCACATTTAGTCATTGTAGTTTCAGTTAATTCCTTTAATCCCAAAATTAATTTCAAATTAATTTCTGATTAAATATTAATTAAACAATATGATTTCTAATTAATATATTATATCCATAATACATTAATAAATCATTTATCTTGATTTCAAATTGATTTATTAACCAAGTAATAAATTAATAAATTATTATTCTCTCTCTAACAGTTATCCTATTCAATTGTCAGGTTTGAAGGCAACCCAAAAGGACATTGCTATTATCAATTCAAGTACATACCAATTATAGTTATGGGCTTAGACACCTAATCCAACACTAGCTTTGCGCGGAAGGCCAAGGGAGGACCAGATTTATGCTGAAGGCCATTATATGTATACATTGTATATGTATTGTGGGATATAGTATTTTGGGGAACCCACTAAGCCTAGCGCTAACGGAGTTGTTGCAAATGTTTTTCAGGTACTTCAAATGATCATTACGAAGGGCAAGGTTAGACTGTACACATGCGCATTCACAGTCATGTTTCCGTAGTAATGTAATTATAACTTTGATAAATAAAAATGAAAAATCTGCCTTGAAAATTGGTACGTTACAACCTATCCTAAGGATCATCATCATCAACAGGTAGACAATATTGCTTGGGGGATTCCTTTAGCAATATATGTCAATAAGGAAACCATGGGCCGGAGGAGGGGGGGATAGAGTACATCAAACGACCAGATAATTCATTAACACATACAGGCTATGAGCCAGCTAGGGTTTAGATGAATGGTTCATCAATAGTCAAGTCCTCTCATCATCATCACCCATCACTACCCAATATATTTTATATAATAGTATATGAAAACACATATATGATTAAATCAAAAAAATCATATAATTGATTTAATTTCAGATACCAAGTAATACATATAATAGGCACACATATCATTTAATCATCTAGATACTTTATATCTATGTGTAAGCTGAAAGTAACTATGCACTCACTTGTTAAAGTGAAGACTGGAAAGTTGGACAGCGCTTCGCTTCAACACTTAGCCTTTCCTTTTACGTGACCTAGGCTCAATTATCACTAATTCTTAGTTTATTATTTCTTGTGACTAATTAATAGTCTAGATTCCTTAATAATCCCAATGTATACTGAGAGTTCTATCAAATAAGGATCAGCCAGGCAGAAAAATTGGGAGGCAGGACCATTTCAGCGTATAACCTTTATAAAATCCAACAACCAAGCCAAACACGACCATTCTAGGCACCTCTCCCGTAAGGTGATCAATCAGTATAATGACATGAAATTACTTATAAATCTTATTTATAGATTCATAACAACGACTATGAATATAAATATGAATTACACTAAGATATGGTTGAGTGTAATTTAGCTTACATAGATTTCCTAGACAGAAGTCCAAAAAATTGCACTGACAGAACTCCAGTTTGCTAGCTACTAGATGTCGGGATCTCAAGGCCTCTGGGCTTCACCAAAATACCCTAAATAATAAGAAATTTTGGGCTAAAATCGAGAGAAACTCGAAAGAGAAGTTTGTGTGTAGTGTGGAGATCAAATGAGCAGGAGAAAGCTATTTATAAGATGAATTTGGGGTAGGCATGTCACACACAAAGAGGGCACGCGTCGCCCCCAAGCTTGGTTGCTACTCTTCCTCCCAGAAAAGGACACGTGGCAATCAGTGGGTGGAGCCATGTTGCTGATGGGGTAGGTACGGGCTGAACTTTTAAAAACTCATATATCGGCCATATGAACTCCGTTTTCGACGTTCTCTATATCTATGCGTAGGTATTTCCAAGTACTAAATTTAGACCCCGTCGGCTATTTCTCAACCGATCTTAAACTTAACAGTCTACGAAGATTACATTGTTAACGACCGTGTAAAATTCATAACTTTTACATACAAACTCCGTTTTCGACTGTCTTTATATCGTTGGGATCCCATTAATGAGATCTTCAACTCTTGTTTAGATTGTTTCGGCTAACAATTAACCGATCTAAAATTCGATTTCTGTGTCTGCATTGTTGGGCTGAAACTTCGAAAATTCGTAACTTCCTGATACGAAGTCAGATTTGGACGTTCTTTATATGCATGCTCTTGGTTTTATGATTACAACGACTTTCATTTAGATTGCTTAGGCTAATAAGCGACCTATCTAAAATTCATATTTACAACACGCGTTACCGCATCGGGTAGAACGCGAAACTTCAACGAGTCACAACTTCTTCATTCTAAGCTCGCTTTGAGCGTTCCTTATATCCTCGGAATCCTCATCACGACTACTCTGAATTTCATCAAGGTTATTCGGCCTAATTATTATTCTACTTAAGACACGTGTTTTATTTCTTCTTTTATTATATCACTTTAAGCACATATAGTACATATAACTACACATAGAACACATAATACTCAATAATTATCTTTATTTACTTCATATAAAGGTTACAATTGTTAACCATTACAATTACATCATCTTATTAATTCCTGGCGAGAAACATGGATGTTACAATTCTCTTCCCCTTAGGATGATACCGTTCCGGAATCATGCATCAACAAATAGATGTGGATAACGACTCATCATGTCGTCCTCTGTCTCCCAGGTGAGGTTTGGCCCAGTCGTATAATTTCATCGCACTGACACTATATTTTGAAATGTACTCAAACCGAGGACACCAACGAAGAGGATTAGAGATCACGATGACTTTTAGAAGGTCACAACCTTGTAGTGGTTTATTTAAACTATGTTTTGGTATTAATTGTTTCTACCTCGCTATTTTGTATTGGACTTTTGGACCGTATCTTCCACACTTTCAAAATTTGAAAACTATTTGAATTAGAATCATTTGTTTTTAAAATTACCCCAACGAATAGTGTTTCACAACGCTTCCCCATCTCATCTTCTATACCGATGGAGACTAGGCCGGATGCCTAGATACACGTTGGTCAATCTCTAACTACTGTGTATTGTTAATAGATAACCTTATATGATGGAGACTAGGTCGGATGCCTGACACCTTATTGAATGCCGAAGCCGAGTGTCGTGCGGTTGTCGAAACGTGCTGGCTTCGCAACCTTCTCGTGTGGGAAAAGGTTGCTCTCGGTCACGTCCGTGTTTTAACATCTCGCCACCCAACAATATACAAATAATTTTTTTTTCCAAAGGTCTGCCTCGCCAACTTTTCATCGATTTTCAAAAACAGCTCGGGCATTTGTCCCCTCCCGCTCAAGTTGTGGGGGCCAGAATATATTTTGTATTTATATTTGTAACTACATGTAAAACTCGTGTATTACACGAGTTGATTAAAGAAAATAAAATATTAAAATATAAATAATAAGCATTTTTTAAAATAAAATTTTGAAATAAGAAATGAAGAAACATATTAATTGCAATTTAGTATAATATTTATTACATTTGATACTTTACATATATAAGTATAAATATTATATGACTTTTTAATTTTAAAAATTGAAAAAACCCATAAATTAACATGTGAATATTATTTATTTAAAAAATATCACAAAATTACAAATGTCAAAATTTATCATAGATTGACATATGACAAAATTATCTTCATTTATTATAGTAGAGATAAGATATTTGTATTTATGTTTTAAATTTACATCCCCTTAATTAACGGGATTTACTTATATAAATACAACATTGTTGAATGGAAGGCGCGAACAGATTTGATATATCTTTACTTAAAAGGAATTTATTTGTTTCGATATATTTGAATAATTAATTTATAAAGTCTTCAAGTGTAATAATCGATGGTGTGCTACAAGTTTTACCTTATTGGAGGGCTGAGAGTAGGTAATCGACTATTTTCGTACTCCATGATACAATTTGCATGTTTTTATTATAATAAAAGAATTTAACTATGTAGCTTACATTTCTGAATTCTGAGTTTTATTGTTTTATACGTATGCTTTTTTAGTAAAAATATTATATTAAAATCTACGTGACTATGAATTGACTTTATTCGGCAAAGTTCAAACACCACTAAAAAATACGATCCCGCATATACCAACGATTATTTAATTTAAAACCAAATTCCAATATTGTTGTCAACTTAAAGTCATTCCACTTCAAATAATAATCAAATTACGATACAAATCATTGTCATAAACAAAAATCCGAATTTCTTATCATGCATGATTATGATACGATGTTTAAAATTAAGAAAAATTAATAGATTGCGATATTATATATATATATATATATATATATATATATATATATATATATGTTTTTAGAACAAATTGAATATATTGAATATAATAGAATTATATATATATATATATATATATATATATATATATATATATAGATATATATATATATATATGTTTTTTAGAACAAATTGAATATATTGAATATAATAGAATGAAATCAATCTTTTAAATTTGTTAATTTTAGGTACAAAAATAAAAATCCCTGGCTGATAATTGAGTTTTTTTCATAAATGGAAAAGGCAACTACTCTAAAAGTCCAAAACATAGCACCCTTCTTCCCGCCGGGAAAAAAACAAAACAGTAAAGTAATTAATTGAAAAAAATCACAACTTTGCAACTATAAATTAGTTGGTGTTCTTAGTGAATATATTTGCTCTGCATTTAATCTCTCACAGCCATCGAACGATCTCACAACTGTAAGTTTCCAAAGTTTCACAACTTCTATGTGAACTTATATCATCTTGGTATTTCTTAAATTGATCAAAACTTTGATCAAAGTTAGCGATCTGATTTCGTTATTTGATATCTGAGTTGAGATCTGTGGTTTTCAATTTGGGGAAGAACAGGGTTTTTAAGGAACGATAATGGCACGTAAGAAGATCAGAGAGTATGATTCCAAAAGGCTGGTGAAGGAGCATTTTAAGAGGATTTCTGGTTCCGAATTGGCTATTAAATCTGCACAGGTAAAGAGACTCCTTTTTGTGTTAGATTCGTAAGATTTATTATATGTAGCCCTAATTCTTATAGGGGTCGATTGAAGTTTTAGCCCCTTTGTTCCCAAGCAAACGAGGATTTTCCTATTGAATTGCAAAGGGAAAGTTTCATCTGATTTTGCAACTTAAAATTGCTTATGCTTTTCATGTCAAAACCAATTAGCAACTGTAGATCACCATTGGATCATTAGCAAGTATTTCAAACGGATCTGTACAGTAGCTAACCAGAAAATCTAAGAAGCTAGATCCAAATTTACAAATTCATTACGTTGTGGAAAAAATTATGTAGTTTGCTAGTTCGTAACATAAATCGAACAGTATTTTGAGGTGGGAGAATGACATATTTCATTTCTGATACATTAGGTTACAGAATCAACCGACTTGAATGAGCTAATCGAGAGGGAACCTTGGCTATCCTCATCCAAATTGGTTGTGAAGCCCGACATGTTGTTTGGGAAACGTGGGAAAAGTGGACTCGTTGCTCTAAATCTTGATTTAGCCCAAGTTTCTGAATTTGTAAAAGCACGACTTGGCAAAGAGGTTGAGATGGGAGGATGCAAAGGTCCCATAACCACATTCATTGTTGAACCTTTTATTCCACACAATGATGAGTTTTATATCAACATTGTTTCTGAGCGATTAGGGTGTAGCATTAGTTTTTCAGAATGTGGAGGAATTGACATTGAAGAGAATTGGGACAAGGTACGTGTGTGTATTTCATAATTCTTCATTTGTTCCAAAATTTACTCTAGTTTTTTCTTATTCATTGATAATTTTTTTTTTCGGGTTTCAGGTCAAGACAATCTTTTTACCAACTGGGATGTCTTTGAATCAAGAGATATGCGCTCCACTTGTTGCAACTCTTCCATTGGAGGTGAGCTTATTGTAATTCTCTCATTATTTGTGCATTTTGAATCTTGGATACTTATTTCTCTAATGATGCAGATCAAACCTGTAATTGAGGACTTTATCAAATCTATATACACTCTATTTATAGGTAAATTTGTATATTCTTTGAAAATCTCTGCTCTCATTACTTAACTATGTAAGCCGATCATTGATCTTTTTTGTTTTTGTGTATATTCAGATCTTGACTTCACTTTCCTAGAAATGAACCCTTTCACCTTGGTTGATGGAAAACCTTATCCTCTTGATATGAGAGGAGAGCTTGATGACACTGCTGCTTTCAAGAACTTCAAAAAGTATGATTGTTTTCTGTGATTCTCCATATAATTAATATGTAACAGCCTTCTATTGTCATCTTAGGTGCTGTTTCTTTTTTACTTAATGGGGATTTGATTAAGGGTAAAAAGGTCTTACTTACATTTGCTTCTTATTTCTCAGGTGGGGCAACATTGAGTTCCCATTGCCTTTTGGAAGAGTTATGAGTGCCACAGAAAGCTTTATTCATGGACTAGATGAAAAGGTACAACAAATTCACTTGATGAAAATTTATAAAAATATAATTGTGATTAATTAAATCATACAAAAACATTGCAGACTAGTGCATCTTTGAAGTTTACAGTTCTTAATCCAAAGGGAAGAATTTGGACCATGGTTGCAGGTGGAGGTGCCAGTGTCATATATGCCGATACAGTATGTTTGTTTCCCATTCCATTCTTATAATTTAATTATCCAAATTTATATCGAATAATTTTTTTTTCTTATAAAATCATCTATATTGTAAAACAGGTTGGAGATCTTGGTTATGCTTCTGAGCTTGGAAATTATGCAGAATACAGTGGTGCACCAAATGAAGAGGAGGTTTTGCAGTATGCTAGAGTTGTCATTGATGTAAGCCACTCAATCCCCATTAATAATAATGTTAGAAAGGGCATTTATGTCATTATATGATAATTTGTGTCGTGTAACAACTGAACAGTGTGCAACTGCTGATCCGGATGGGCAAAAGAGAGCTTTGGTAGTAGGAGGTGGAATTGCTAACTTCACAGATGTTGCAGCCACATTCAATGGCATCATTCGCGCAATGAAAGAGAAGGTTACTCATTTTTATTCATAGATCTTGAAAAGTTAGTTTTTTTTTTATGGTAAAATTGGAAAGTTAAACGGGTTTTGACATATTTGTTTATTGTTATAGGAGTCTAAGTTGAAAGCTGCAAACATGCATATCTATGTAAGGAGAGGAGGTCCAAATTACCAAAGAGGACTTGCAAGGATGCGTGCACTCGGAGAAGAAATTGGCATCCCAATTGAGGTAAACCTTTTTTTTTTATATTTCCTTAAACTGCATTTGTTATGCAAGACATGGCATGACATGACATGACAGAACAGAACAGGTTGTATTGGGACTGTGGGACATAGACTGATGTCAGTATGACAACAATCACAATACTTTTGTCGGATTCAAAAAAGAGCGAACAAAAGACTGTAATTTATGTCCCATTGACATCTGTCTCAGTCCAATGAATAAACGTATGTTTTGAATTGACCAAGTTTGACCGACCAACAATTCGTAATAAATTTGTTTTTCTAGGTGTATGGTCCTGAGGCAACAATGACCGGAATATGCAAACAAGCAATTGATTGCATCACTGCAGCTGCATAAACTTGGTTAATGTTTGTGTCTGTTGTGTTTTGTTGAATTCAAATGTAGCATGTAACTCAAGTGTTTTGTTGTGTTATGTTTTGTTTTTGTATGGGTGTGTCTTTGTTTTTTGTTTTTAAACCACATTGTAGAAAATTGAAGAAAAAAGAAATAATCTTGCGGCTCGTTTGATGTATTTATACGTGTAGCAGAAGTGTACCTGATTATTAAGTAAAATCTTAAAATATCCTAAAATAATATTTGATTACATGGATATATGAAAGCTTGGTTTCAGAGAGCTTTCATATATTCATGTAAAATGGAACATAAGCCCTATATAATACTACCAAAGTACCAATTAACAACCAACTATCAAATGAAATCAAGAAGTTTAATTGACTAGAGAACTAATCAGTTAAAACTGATGCTTAACAGAATGACTATGTAAAAGAAACTTGAAACATAAAAAAATTATACAACTCAGGTGGTTATTCATTTCAATATTTGTTAACAACTCAGTTATGTAAAATTTATCTTTTGTTATTTATTTGGATATTTAGTTTTACAGCTGTTAACAAAAAAAGGTCATATTCGGAGAACACCTATATCGTTTTTTTGATTATCAAGAAAAGACCACAAAATACGTGAATCTTGATTGCGAAATAGCAAGACATGGACTTTATATGACAACCTAACCCCACGAGTTTAAATCGTTTCATGATTTTTGTTATTCTACAGCTTTAACTACTAACAACAAATGATAGACATGGACTTTTGTCATGGTGGAACACTACCAACTAAGATGTCCGATTATAATACAACCAAAAGAGACTCATAAAAGAATCAGATACTTAATGAACATGTACACGTTCACTTACCAAAGTAGAAAAGTTAAAATTGCTAACATATACTAAAAAAAGAATGAAAGTGGCAAAAAATGGATTGTTGGTGCAAATAAAGAGATTGACATGCTTATGTTTATGTTCCTGATAGGTACATTCTTAGTGAATTCTTTACCTGCTATTGTGCTTTTTGACTCGGGGGCGAGTCAGTCGTTTGTATCTCAGTCTTTCAGTAGGGGTTTCGGTATGACCCTTGGAGAGTTGGAGTGTCCATTGCGAGTTTCCATCGCCAACGAACACAAGGTTTCTGATTCGAGCATTTTCCATGGTTGTACCTTGGAGATATTCGGGGTGCCCTACCCAATTGACTTGATTCTCATCCCTATGTGAGATGTGTGTGTGATCGTAGGGATGGACTGACTGAGAATATTTGAAGCCATGATTGATTGTGAGAGGCAGCTTGTGGTGGTTCGAACCCTAAGGGTTGGTTCAACATTCTGTTCGGCTTCCAGGGCTAGGCGGTATCTCCAGCATGGATGTTCAGGATAGCTCACGTATGTGGTTGACACTCGAGTTGAGGGGAAGAAGTCAATTTTAGATGTGCCAGTGGTTAGGGAGTTTCCAAATGTTTTCCAGGAGGATCTACCCATTGTGCCTCCCGTAAGGCATGTGGTGTTTAGGATCGATCTGATCCCCGGTGCGACCCCGGTTGCTAAGGCATTGTATCGCTCCGCACCGCCTGAGATGCAGGAGTTGTCATCTCAGCTCCAGGAGCTGTTGGGCAACCAGTTTATCCAGCCGAGCAGTTCACCTTAGGGAGCACCAATTTTGTTTGTGAAGAAGAAGGGCGGTTCTCATCGAATGTTCATAGATTACTGGGAGTTTAATAAGTTGATGGTGAAGAACTGTTACCCACTTCTGAGGATTGATGATCTTTTCGATCAGTTGCAGGGTGTGTCAGAGAGGAGAATGTGGAGAAGACAACTTTTTGGACTCGATATAGGCACTATGAGTCTGTGGTAAGGTCTTTAGGGCTCACCAATGCACCTGCAACATTCATGGATTTAATGAACCAAGTATACAGATCGATGCTCGATCGGTCGGTCATTGTTTTCATTGATGATATTCTGGTCTACTCCAATACTAGGGAATAACATGAGGAGCACCTGCGAGAGTTACTTGGAGTGATGGGGAAGGAGATACTATATGCTAAGTTCTCCAAGTACGAGTTCTGGTTGCGAGAGGTCCAGTTCTTGGGACACCTCGTCAATTAGAACAGAATTTTGGTCGATCCGACCAAAATCGAGGCGATTATGCAGTGGGAGGTCTTGAAGTCTCCATCTAAGAACCGAGTTTTTTTGGATTAAGGTGTCTAAGCTCATAACTAAATTGGTATATACTTGAATTAAAAGCAAAGTCTTTTTTGGGTTGCCCTCATAACTAGTAACCGAATAGAATGCCATTTGGAGAGAGAGGTTGATGTATTAATTTATTATATGATTAATAAATTGTAATAAATAATTTGTTAATATATTATAGGATTAATATATTAATTGGAAATAGTAATAATTAATTAAGGATTAATCATAATTAATTTAGATTTAATTCTAGGTTAATTATAATTAATTAAAGGTGCAAGGACTTAAATTGTAACTATTTAATAGTTGAACAAGGAAGGATTCCAGAACCTTCCTTAAAGGGGACGGTTTTGGCTAGCCCTGGATAGGGTTTCTGGAAGCCTCCCGGAGATAAGGATACTGGATAATATCTTGAATATGAAATATTATTATTTCATTCAAGATTAGGGTGTCCAGGGTTTTCCTACCAGCTATAAATAGGACCCCTTGGGTACCTCATTTTCGTCCACTCCTACTCCCAAGAGAATAGCCGAATTTGCTCTCCCCTCTCCTTTCTCCACTTATCTTCTAGTTTCTAGGGTTTGGGTACAAGCCATTAGAGACACTAAACTTTTGGTGCTAGCTTTCAGAAGAACCAAAGGAAAGGATCAAGAGATTTTTTTTTCTATAATCAATCTAAGGTATGTAAACCCTACTTTTGCAATTTTCGAAATTCATAGGGTTTCTCTAGGATTCTTGATGTTCATTGTATGTTGCTATCAATTAGAGAAAATTAGATCCTTATTGGTTGCATGTGAACTTAAGAGTTAAGATTTTACGCTTTACATGTTTTTGATAACCTATATAACTCATCGGTGGTATTAAAGCCATTTTTTTATTGATTATACATGAGGTGAATTGATCAAGATTAGGGTTTATCGAGAATAAACACTAGCTCTTGCAATTTTTGACTTTTGTAGGGTTTCTTGTTTCTTGAAACCCTAGCCTCCATGCCTTATTTTCGAAATTTGACTAGGGTTTCTAGTTTCCTTATCGTGTTATTTTAAATGCCTTAAAATTTGAACAACTGAAACTTGGTAACCCTAACCCTAATTTTCGAAAATTAGAAGGATAAGATTAAATTTGAATTATTTAATTAATTTTTCAGTTAAGATAAATATTTAATTCCTATATGATTTAATTAATTTAATTAATTAAACTAATTGTTTAATTAAAAGATAAAGATTAAATCAAATTGGTTTAAATTGATTAATTTAGATAATTAATATTTAAACCTTGTCTTTTGAAAAGTTTTAAAATACACCTTATATATATTATTAAACGTTTAATTACTATATGTATAAGAAAAGCCAGTCGAATCAATAGTAGACCTCATTTACGAAACCATGCTATAAAGGAGGTATAAGGAAACGACCTATAAAATGACCGTTGAATGAGTGTCCTTTTCACCCACCGATCCCCTGTGTGGTGGAGTGTCGTTAACCGAACGGTTCGATAGGACACAATCTCATTAAAAATATAATGATATAAAGCACTATAACTTTTAAAAAAAAACCACTCTAGCTACTTTAGGAAAAATGTGAAATGTATGCTAATCCATGAATACACACATCATTCTTTATAAGTCGTTAGTAGAGCGTGTGTGGCTAACCAAAACACCAATTTAGGACTATAAAGTTAAGATGATGGAACAACTCGAAAATTATAATTATTGATGGAGCGTGTGTGGTTTAGCGGCACGTTAATTCGATATGATATGTGACAACCGTCAATTTTTGGCCAAGTCAAAGTCAACCAAAGTCAACAAGTCAAACCGGTCAACTCATCTAACCCTTGTATATTAGGGTTTCCATTATGATTCTTATTGTACTACTCGCAATCTTAATACAAAGTATCACTTAGAGTTTTCACGTGTTCGGAAATTCTAAACCCTAATCAGGGCAAGTGATGAAACTATTCGATAAAACATTATTCCTTAACCCTCGGGGGCATATAACAATCATAACGAGACTTAACGAGATGTACAAACCTTGCGTTACGAAGCCAAACACTTAAAAAGGCCGCAAACGAAGTCTCTCTCAATCTCTTTCACTCTATCTCTCTCTATTTAAAATCTCTCCAAGTATGTGAAATCTCTCCCAAATCTCTCTATATGAGAAATCTCTCCAAGTATGTGAAATCCCTCCCAAATCTCTCTCTGTATGAGAAATCTCTCCAAGTATGTGAAATCTCTACCAAATCTCTCTCTGTATGAGAAATCTCTACAAATATGTGAAATCTCTCCCAAATCTCTCTCTGTATGAGAAATCTCTCCAAGTATGTGAAATCTCTCCCAAATCTCTCTCTGTATGAGAAATCTCTCCAAGTATGTGAAATCTCTCCCAAATCTCTCTCTGTATGAGAAATCTCTCCAAGTATGTGAAATCTCTCCCAAATCTCTCTCTGTATGAGAAATCTCTCCAAGTGTGTGAAATCTCTCCCAAATCTCTCTCTGTATGAGAAATCTCTCCAAGTGCGTGAAATCTCTCCCAAATCTCTCTCTGTATGAGAAATCTCTCCAAGTATGTGAAATCTCTCCCAAACCTCTCTCTATATGAGAAATCTCTCCAAGTATGTCAAATCTCTCCCAAATCTCTCCCAAATCTCTCCAAGTATGTCAAATCTCTCCCAAATCTCTCTCAAAATCTCTCTCAACTTCTTATAATCACTCGGGGCATCCCGACCTGTAATTTAGTCGAAAACCGCTCGAAAACGGAAGTTTACGCGAAAAACAGCTTTAAGGTGCCGAACCCTCTTAAGAACCGAAACTCCCTTTAGGAACCGAAACCTCCTGAGAACCGAAACCACCTCCCGAACCGAACCTGCTAAGAAACCGAACTTAACCTTCGGTCCGAGAAGACTACCTTCGGTCCCTTCTGATGAGTCGCCTGCGAGACCTCTCGGTTCCCATATACAACCGAACCCTACCTTCGGTTCTATGCTCCTAAGGAGCCGAAC